TGGTCCCCCTAGCACAGAACTGTCTATGAGATAGAAAGTCTCAGACTAGCGTTGCCGGACCCCTGCGGTGGAGGCAGAGATCCCCCGCTGCCAGGTCCTGCCCCCTGCTACCAACCAACTGGCCAGCGGGGGACTTATCAGTAGAAAGAAGGCTTAGGCCACCTTGGTGGCATTGCACAGGAAGTGATGTCATCGTGTCAGCAACTCCCAGATGATGCTGTGTTATATGGGCAAAAACTCTATGGTAGAAGTCGGTTTTACCATAGAATCTTTGCCCAAATGCCAGAGCGTCACCCAGAAGTGGCTGGTAGGATGATGTCACTTCCTGTGCAGTGCCAGCAACATAGCCTAGGTCTTTTTTCTACCCCCCATTCTCTGCCAGTTGCCAAGAGGGACCTGGCAAGCCAATCTCAGACAGAGAAAGGTCTTTCTCTACCACTTGCTGTTTGAGATCCTTTTTCTTTTTAACCTGGAGATAGTGGGGATTGAACCTGGGACCTTCTACACGCAAAGCGGACGCTCTACAATTTCAACCACATCCCCTCACAAGCAGAGAAGTGTGTCAGAAATATGTATGCGTAGCATAGGGACCGTGAAGACCTAAGTTCAAATGCGGCCACATTCACTATGCCAGGGGTCCCAAAAATGGTGCCTGTGGGTGCCACGACGGTTGCCAACCTCCAGGCGGCTGCTGGAGATCTCCTGGGATTACAACTGATCTCCAGGCAACAGCGGTCAGGTCCCCCTGGAGAAAATGGCCGCTTTGAAAGGCAGACTGGCAGACTCTGTGGCATTACACCTCACAGAAGTCCTCCCCCTCTCCAAACCCCACTGAAATGTATCAGACTCAGGTATCTTGTAACCAAGCGAATTCAGCTTTATTGAACCAGAACAAATCAACACGAAAAAACCATTGAAGCCTGAGCTCCTTTTAAACATCCCGGGCTGGGAAGGCTGCGCCCAGGTGAAGAAGAAGAAGAGAGTGGATTTCTACAAATTCCTTTCCCTTCCCCTCCCCACAACAGACACCCTGTGAGGTGGGTGGGGCTGAGAGAGCTCTGACAGAAACTGCTCTTTTTCAAGGACAGCTGTGCCAGAGCTTGTGACTGACCCAAGGTCACATCAGCAGGTGCAAGTGGAGGAGTGGGGAATCAAACCCGGCTCTCCCAGATTAGAGTCCGCGCACTTGACCACGACACCAAACTGGCACCAAACTGGTGAACGGTAAGAACCAATCATATTTATAAGATAAAGACCAATCATAGTTGTTCCCTCCAGTCACAATCCTTAGCTCTGATTGGCCCGCTGGCCGAAGCAGCCAATCCGAACGTGAGCATTAGGATACCAGCTTTTAATATACCTTTGCCTGAAGCTAGGCGTGCAGTAGAAATCATAATACATAACACCCACCCTCCCCCAGATTCTACCTCCCCAAATCTCAAGGAATTTGCTAACACGAAACTGGCATCCCTAGTCCCATGGTGCCTGCCAACACCTTCCTGGCATCCACCAAGTATTCATAGAAACTGGCCCGGGACAGGTGGGGCTTTTGCCCAGCAAGGCTTCTGATCGGTCATTCGGGATCTGATTGGTGCTGCTTTGGCAGCAGCTGCCACCACAGCCCAAGCATCTTCTCGGTATGACTGAAGTTAAGTTGCGGCAGCCATTTTGCAGCTGGCTCTGCCTCCCGCGGCAGCCATTTTGTGGCTGTGCCCATCATCATCCTGCAATAGGTTTCCAAAGATGTCGACAGGCTCAAAAAGGTCGGAGCCCCTGTGCTGTGCTATCCACACACATTTTGGTTTCGGCGGGAGTCCTCCAGTGGGCCCCCAAACCTGTAAGCAGTAGGGGATGCAAACACAGGAAGTCCCCAATTTAAATGGACTGACCTTCCACAGCCTGCAGCTCAGCGTCTTAACCACTTGAGCCACCGCAGCTCCTTAAAAGGGGGACAGCAGAGATGGGGCAAACTTCTTGCAAACGTTTGAGAGTTTGGTGGTCCCCCTAGCACAGAACTGTCTATGATCGATAGAAAGTCTCAGACTAGCGTTGTTTTCCCCTCAAATGGCATTGACCCACCCTCAGCGTGTGACGTCACTAGCGCGGGGGTGGGGTTTCCCCCGGGCCCCGATTCCGCGGGAATCGGGGCTCGAAACCAGGGGGAATTCCGCCCCCCGGGGGGATTTGGGACCCCTAGCGGGAGTCCTCCACTGGGCCCCTAAACCTGTAAGCAGTAGGGGATGCAAACACAGGAAGTCCCCAATTTAAACGGGAGCATCTGCACCAAATCGTGTTCGTTCTGGGCATGACTCAAGGCCTCCCCAAAGCGTTCTCCTTTAAACCGGGTGCACATTCTAAAATCCTCCTGAATAATGAATTGGCATGTAATTTTGTTTCAGGTCTCATTCGCACCAATTCATCTGGTGTGCCGTGGAGTGGAGGTGCTGTGATTTACTCTTCACGGAAATCAGTTAAGTGCTAAGAATATACTACTCGAGAGAGATTTAAAGAGAGCATTTATTCTCACCGTCTCCTTTTAGGAACATCTCCAGGAATTCGGGCCAGTTGTCTATGGTGGGGAGGTTGGGATTCTCTCTGTAATAATGATACATGGAAACGGCAATGTCTTTCGGGTTTCTGAGGATGTAGATAGCCTACAAATGAAGACAGTGCATTATTAAGGGAGGGATAGACTGGGGTCCCCAACATGATGCATAGGGGCACCGTGGCACCCGCCCAATACTTTTGCCGGTGCCCATCAAGTGATTATACAAAGTGAGCACGGCCAAGTGGGGATTTCACCCATCAAGGCTTCTGATTGGCCACTGGAGTGGAGATATGACTGGCTGCTGTAGATTTTTTAAAAGATGTCCCTTTGGCAACAGCTGCCGCCACAGCGCAAGGGGTCTTCGTACATCAGCTCGATGGCACTTTCCACCACCAGTTATAATGTGGGACTTTGCGTATGTATGACCCAGTTGTGAAGACATAACCGTTGCCCCGCCGGATCAGACCGGCAGTCCATCTGTTCTATCATCCTGTTTCACACGGTAGTCATCTAGGGTTGCCAGGTCTGGGTTGGGAAATACCTGGAGACTTTGGGGGTGAATCTGGGAGAGGGCGGGGCTTGGGGAGGGGAGGGGCCTCAGCAGGGCACAAGGCCACAGAGCCCACCCTTCCAAGCAGCCATTTTCTCCAGGGGAGCTGATCTCTGTCAGCTGGAGATCGGTTGTAAAAGTGGGAGATCCCCAGGCCCCACCTGGAGGCTGGCAACCCTAATGTCAGAGGTAGCAAGCAGTTGCTATAGATCAGTTTGATCTGTTTGTCAGACCTAGCTGTCATGCTAGTAATCATGTAATTACAGCCAGGTGTTTTCTAGCAGGTGTTGCTCTTTCAGGGCTTGTTAGAGCTAGTGATTACATCACCTTGTTAGAGATTGGCTGGGGTTTAGCGTAATAGCTATCAGTTTAGTAAGCTGGATGGGGACTTAGTTCTCATAGACTAAGGCACGTGCTGTTCAATAGCCTGTAAATATCTCTGTATATATTCACCTTTATAACTATATAAACTCTCTGTGCACCTTCATAACTGGTCAGTCTCCTGCTTCTTATTTACAACATCCAATAAAGTCATCCAATTGCCTTGGAGGTTCAACAAACAGGGCACAGGGGCCGAGGCCTTCCCCGGTGTGACCTCCTAGCACTGGTATTCAGAGGTTTACTTGGGGCTGCCAACCCCCAGGTGGTGGCTGGAGATCCCCTGGAATTACAAGCGATCTCCAGGGAGCAGAGATCGGTTCCCCAGGAGTAGATGCTAGGGAATCATGTTCTCCACTGAGCTTCCCCCCACTCCCCAAATTCTGCCTTCCCCAGGCTCCACCCCCAAACCTCCAGGAATTTCCCAAACCAAAGCTGGCAACCGTCGGTTTATCGCCTCGGGATGCGGAGATTCCATCACGCGAGTCCTCAAATAAAGCGTTCTGTTTTATTTAATTAAAAAGATCATTTCTGCAAACAGCCAAAGAACATCAACAAAGAGACGAAGCTCAGAAGCAAACATTGAATAATAGGATCATAGCGTCCAATAAAGCTTCCAGGGGAAAGTGGCCTTTAACCAGGGATGAAATAACATGACAGATGCATCTATCTTATCCATTTGGGGCTCAGTATATCCCAGCTGCCATCAAACTATTTAATGCCAAGGTGGACATGCAAAGTTTATATAGAGCCGGGTATCTGGTTGGACAAAACAGGGGAGTCCTTCATAGAATCATAGAGTTGGAAGGGACCTCCAGGGTCATCTAGTCCACAATGCAGGAATTTCAGAAATCCCTCTCCCCCGCACACCCCCAGTAACGCCATGTTCCATGCCCAGAAGAGGACAAAAAACCTCCAGGATCTCCAGCCAAGCTGGCCTGGAGAAAAATTGCCTCCTGACCCCAAAATGGTGATCAGCATTTCCCTGGGCATGTAAGAAAGGGCCACGAGAACTAAGCACTGAGGCAACCCTTCCTGCCCTCCCTCTCATGATCTGCCTAAGTTCACAGAATCAGCATTGCTGTCGGATGGCCATCGAGCTTCTGTTCGAAAACCTCCAGAGGAGGAGAGCCCACCACCTCCCACCACCTTCGATTCCATTCTTCTTCAATTCCTACGTTCCATCTGCGGGATTCCGAATTGTGTAGCGGGAGTAGCCCTCAAAGCTGAATGGGAACAACCGTCTCTTGAAGCTCGGGTTGAGTTGAAGGCTTCCCCCCTTAAGCCAGTTTGGTGTAGTGGTTAAGTGTGCGGACTCTAATCTGAGAGAACCGGGTTTGGTTCCCCACTCCTCCACTTGCACCTGCGGATGTGACCTTGGGTCAGTCACAAGCTCTGGCACAGCTGTCCTTGAAAAAGAGCAGTTTCTGTCAGAGTTCTCTCAGTCCCACCCACCTCACAGGGTGTCTGTTGTGGGGAGGGGAAGGGAAAGGAGTTTGTAAGCCACTCTGAGACTCCAAGTGAAGGGCGGGGTATAAATCCAATCTCTTCTCTTCTTCTTCTTCTCCTCTAAAGTTAACACTATATACTACCTAAAGACTTTGAAAAAAAGCAACAGATATTTAATTACCTACTTTACTACAGCGGCAAGAATGCTATATGTCAAATACTGGAAGGCACAAGATGTACCAAAAAATTGACTTTGTTGATAAGAGGATCCACAAACTATACATTCCAGAACACATGGAGGCGCTTCTATAATTGGTATAATAGTGCAAATGATTGTAGAGCTCTGATCCCTAGAGCAAAGTATAGGTTAGAACATTGAGATAGCAGGTGCAGATGCTGGTTTTAAGATACAAAAATGTGAGCTCATAGAAAATAATGATGCGTGATATTGTATTGGATAGAGAATATCTAAGAGGCAATTATTGGAAACAGAAGCATTTGATACCCCCGTTTGTGTTACATGTGTGTATGTTCGATTTGTCTGTTAAGAAAAAACAAATAAAATTCTACCCTTTGAGGGCAGATTTTTTTTAAAAAAAAAAACCCACAAAAAACATTATACACTCCGACATCCAAGAGAGGTACCTTATCCTTCCCACTGGGATAAACTTGTCAAGCAACCTACAGCTCCTCCATCTTTCTTTGGATTCCCTTTATTCAGTTACTAGACAGGAAGCCATAAGAATGATTAAGAAACGCCTGTTTAAGTACGGTTACAGCAGTGCAATCTCTAGAGCGCAGCATGTTTGTTCTACCCAGTTTGTTGGCATTTTTCCACCTGGAGAGCTCTCCGATCACTGCTCATATTTTACTGTTCCTCACTATAGGTGTACCTTTCTGTTGGCACGCCTTAATGCCCTACCATCTAGAGCTTTGCAAAGGAGGGATCTTGAGATACCATACTCTGGCTGTGGTCAGACGTGCCTTTAGATCCGACATAGCTGCGAATGCCTGATGGCTCTAACGGGCACGATCAGACTGCAACCTCTGGGAAAGGTCCCGTAGTCATCGACAACCCGTACTGCCCCACCACAGAAACGGAGTTAAAAGACACTGGGGAAAGTCCAGTCCTAACTGTCAGCTACGCTGCCATGGGGGTTGGGGAGCTCGGTCTGTGTCTGGTTAATTGCTACTGCATTCCATTCTGTGCTTTTTCTGTTTTGCGCCGAAATGCTTATCTATACAGATGTGCAGGAGGGAGTTGTAGTGTCTGGGTTTTTCCTAGGTGCCGTGGGAGACTGTTGGTTCTCAGCTTTAGCTACCTAACGGTCTCCAAGCTTTATCCCGCGCGCGGGAGGGTGCCTAATTGGCCAGTGCTGGGGGGGTGCATACGAATACCCTATATCCTATTATACCCGTGGGGCCGCCACCATTCTTAACAATGCTTATGCTACTGCATCTATAGCTCTGCAATAAAAGTATTACCCTTCTTGAATGCGCGTACTTCGTTGTTGGCTGTGGGTTCTGACACTAACACTTGCCAATGGGCCACGGATGGGTTTTCCCTAGTCTGATCACTCAAGCACACTCTCAGGCTGTCAGAATGGACTGCTCAGTCCATCCCGACTCGGTGTCAATCTCCCCCCCCCCCGCTTAGCGATATGCACATAACCACATAATCGGTCCATGGAGAACTCCATGGAGAACTCTTCGTATGGGGCCTCGATTCCTCGTTTATGCGCGTGTGCACACAAAACGGCAACCCCCCCACTCACCCGAACATGCCATCTGATTGCACAGTGACGGGTTGTGCCCTCAGCGAAATGGATTATACTGGGATGTGTGATCGAGCAACTCTGTGCCAAACACCAACAGATGGAATAGAAGCGCTTCCCGACCGTGCCAAATGGCACCTCTATCGGCCTCTGATAGAGTGTGCGACAGTGATGCAGATGGTTTACACACCCTGTATCACATGACCTTTGAACGCAATCCTTTTTCTGAGCCTAGAAATCTTTTAATTCTTCCTTTCCTCCAAAACATAGAGCATATGGAGACATCGCCTCTTTTCTTAGAAGATAATAGCAGACCTATCACTCTTTTAGCTGCGAAATTTTACACCTCTGTGATAGATTTTTGCAGCCATTCAAATGGGGGCCTAGCCTTTCCTATATTTTAGTAATCCGCTTAAAACTAATATGTTAAGAGGCAGCATGACACAGTCGTGGTCGTCTATCTTACCTTGCATTGTTTAAGCTTGAAAGCGGGTGGCAACATATTGCAGTCCAAGTGAGTCGGGATGATTCTCTGGCAGGACAGATGGTCCAATTGTTCCAGCTTGGAAAGATCTCCAAATTCAATTGGAGGAGTGATCGCCACTTTGGAAGGAAGAAGGAGCATGATGATTTCGGCGAGCCAGTGGGTCCCTGCAGGGTAAGGGAGAGTCTCCATATTACAAAGAATTAATTGTTAAAATCGTTAGTTCTAATTTCTGCTTACAGTGATAGCCGTATGAGCAGTACTAGATAGATGATAGATAGATAGATAGATAGATAGATAGATAGATAGATAGATAGATAGAAGAAGAAGAAGAAGAAATTGGATTTATACCCCGCCCTTCACTACCCAAAGGTGTCTCAGAGCGGCTTACAAATTCCTTTCCCTTCCCCTCCCCACAACAGACACCGTGTGAGGTAGGTGGGGCTGAGAGAGCTCTTGACAGAAACGGCTCTTTTTTCAAGAACAGCTCTTATCAGAACTATGGCTTGCCCAAGGTCATCCAGCAGGTGCAAGTGGAGGAGTGGGGAATCAAACCCGATTCTCCCAGGTTAGAGTCCGCGCACTTAACCACTACACCAAACTGGCTGATAGATGGACAGACGGACAGACGGACAGACAGACAGACAGACAGACAGACAGACAGACAGACAGACAGATAGATAGATAGATAGATAGATAGATAGATAGATGAAGAGGAGGATGGATTTATACCCCGCCCTTCACTACCCAAAGGTGTCTCAGAGCGGCTTACAAATTCCTTTCCCTTCCCCTCCCCACAACAGACACCGTGTGAGGTAGGTGGGGCTGAGAGAGCTCTTGACAGAAACGGCTCTTTTTTCAAGAACAGCTCTTATCAGAACTATGGCTTGCCCAAGGTCATCCAGCAGGTGCAAGTGGAGGAGTGGGGAATTTTTTTGGTTGGTTGGTTGGTTGGTTGGTTGGTTGGTTGGTTGGTTGGTTGGTTGGTTGGTTGGTTGGTTGGTTGGTTGGTTGGTTGGTTGGTTGGTTGGTTGGTTGGTTGGTTGGTTGGTTGGTTGGTTGGTTGGTTGGTTGGTTGGTTGGTTGGTTGGTTGGTTGGTTGGTTGGTTGGTTGGTTGGTTGGTTGGTTGGTTGGTTGGTTGGTTGGTTGGTTGGTAGGTTGGTAGGTAGGTTGGTTGGTTGGTTGGTTGGTTGGTTGGTTGGTTGGTTGGTTGGTTGGTGGAGTTAATTGTTAATTAACCCACTGGGATAAAAAGGCTGCATATCAGCTGGATGGCCTAGGCTAGCTTGATCTTGTCAGGTCTTGGAAACTAAGCAGGGGCAGCCCTGTTTAGGACTTGGATGGGAGACCACCAAGGAAGTTTGGAGTAGCTATGCAGAGGCAGGCAATGGCACACCACCTCTGCATGTCTCTCGCCTTGCAAACCCCACAGGGTTGCCATGACTCATCTGTCGCTGGATGGCACTTTCCACCTGTACAGTGCAATAGCCACTCCCTCCATCACCCATGGCGAGTCAAAATTGTGTCCAGGTGACCATGAAAGAATACTCTGCAAAGATTTGTCCTCATATTATTGTGTATTTCTCCAGCTCTTCCCCCCATGGAGTGTAGGGTAGTGTACATAGCTGTCCTCCATCGCCCATTTGTCCTCACAAAACCCCTGTGATGTAAGCTAGACTGAGAACAGCTAGGCCAAGGTGAGCCAGTGTGTTTCCTGGTTGAATTGGAATTTGAACCCAGGCTTCCACTGAATCAGTAGTGAATGCTCGGTCAGTGTAATGGGGGAGTAGGGTGCCTTGCTGCTAGTATGTAGAGCAGTGGTCCCCAATGTGGTGCCCATGGGTGATAGGGCACCCACCAATACCTTTCTTGGTGCCCATCAAGTGTATTTAGATAGTGGGCGTGGCCAGACGGGGCTTTTGCCTAGCAAGGGTTCTGATGGGCTAATGGAGATTTGATTGGCTCTGTGGATTTTTTAAAATGTTGCAGAAGAAGAGCAGGAGGAGGAGGAGGAGGAGGAGATGGGATTTATACCCCGTCCTTCACAACCTGAAGAAGTCTCAGTGTGGCTCACAACCTCCTTCCCCTTCCCCTCCCCACAAGAGACACCCTGTGAGGTAGGTGGGGCTAAGAGAGCTCTCTCGAGAACTGCTCTTGAGAGAACAGCTCTGAGAGAACTTGTGACTGACCCAACGTCACCCGGCTGGCTTCATGCGGAGGAGTGGGCAATTAGACCCGGTTCTCCCAGATTAGAGCTCCCGGTCCTAACCAATGCTCCCTCTAAGCTGTGGAGTCTTGTGAGCAAAAGGTCTACTTTGTGAGCTACTGGCATTAAAGTTGTGAGCGAGTGATTTGGCTACTGCATAAATTAGTTTGCTCTGGAGCCGTCCTTCCTGAGCGAAGACAAAAACGTGCGAGCTGCAGGCTAAAAAACTGTGAGCTAGCTCACACTAACTCAGAGAGAACATTACACCAGACAGGCTCTCACCTGCCAGCACAGCACCAGGATCTTCACCAAGTGTCTGACGCTAAACAGTGGCAGCCATTTTTTT